GTGGCCTCCGCCGTGACCCCGCCCCTCGCCACGCCCCCTCGCTGCGGCGCGGCCCCGGCCCCGCCCGCGGATTAACTTTTTTTTTTTTTTTTAATTTGTATTTTATTTTATTGGTTTTATTTCATTTCTGCAGCAGAGGGGGAAAATACAACACACGATTGGGCTTTAAAAACAACCAGGACAAGGGCTCAACATCGGCTTTAAATTAACCCCTAAAGAGGGGCTCAACAGGGTTTTAAATTAACCCCTAATGCAGAGAGGAATCCGGTTTCAAGAAATCCAGTTTATAAATTATTTTTCCCCTTCAAGTCCCCGCACCAGCTCTGGAGGGATGGCAATGCTCATGCTCTTCCCTGGCCGCCATCTCTGCATCCAGCTGGGCTGTACAGGTGACACAGGGGCTGGTCGGTGTCACGGTGGCAAAGTTTCACCCTATTTTTGGAGTGCTGGTCTTAAAAACACCCCTATAACCCTCGCCAGTGTAGGAACAGACTACAGAGTTCCTGGAGTTCACTCCATTTCTGGAGAGAATAGAATGGCGATGTTACAAAGGAAAAATTCATTTTTCTCTGCCTGGATAACCAAAAATAAAAAGATCACGTTCTATTATCAATTTTATTTCTGCTAATTAGTGCTTAAAACTAAAAAAAAGCTCACTTCAAGCCATTCCCATGTCCACCAGGAATGCAGTGAGACCTGGCGTGACTCTTCCCTGTTCAGGCGGACAGTGGGGAGGACAGTTTTCAGCTGCAGGAAACAAACTGCAACATGGCTAAGCCAGCTGTAGTTTCTGGTTCTCTCCTCACCTACACCCAGATCACTCCCCGGGCTTGATGCAAGTACTCCCAAAAGGGCAGTTTCCACGCCGTAGGCAAGGTGGAGCTTTTTTGGCAAGACCGAGTCTCTCGCTGCCAAAGGGTAAATGAGGATGGTGCCACTTCCCTGGGTCGGAGGGATGGCCCAAGGGCAAATCTGGACCGGGAAGGGACTGAACAGACACCTTTGTCTGAACCTTCCCCTTCCCGTCTCCCCAGGACAGAGCAGGCACGTCTGCACCCTGGACTCCCATGCAGCTGGGCCACAAACCTCAGGGACAGTTCGCGCTACTGTCCCCAGCCCTGCGGGCCCCAAGAAAAGCCCCAGGGGCTAACTGGTTTTCTTCACGCTGGCCATACTCTGCTCAGGTGGCAGGACCGTCTCGATCTGAAACGACACAAACTGGCCCTTCTTCAGCTTCTTCAGGGAGCTGGCAGCGCTGCTCCCAAACACATTGTCTTCCACTTTGAAAGCAAGGGAGGGCAGGCCCCGACTTTTCCTTTTCATGCTCTTCCGCTCCCGCTTGTAGGCTGTGGTCATGTTGGCGATCACCTGTAAAGCAGATTGCTTGGGTTGGGCCTTGAGACACCACTTAAAAATCAGCTCGCCTCTGTCTCACGCGAGCTCGGCAAGCGAGGGTCAGCACTGCAGCACGCAGAGCTCAGCTTGGCAAGCCAAGGCTGTGCCAGCAAGCGCCAGCACAGCTGGCTGCACCCTGGGGCAAGGGAGGGACTAAGCAAGGTCTTTCCAGCCTTATTCTCACCAACCCCAAACTAGCAGGAGATCTTACATTAAGAAATTGTGATTTCATGGTGGTGCTCAGAGGAGCCGTTAGTTCTCCATCAGTAGAGGGCAGAAAGAGATCTAGGCTGGAGTAACACAGAGCCAAAGGAAGCTTTTATCACCTCCTGTTAATTACAACCCCAATCCTGGCCCATCTGCAGGCAAACGTCAGCGACCTGGACACCAGAAGTGCCCTTACGGACAGGGCAGGATGCTTTGGCATTACCAAGACGGAGCTCTTACTGCCCTGTGCCATGATGTGCATCTCCGTTTCACAAGAAGGGAATCCGAGCTAGCCAGCCTGAGCTGCCAAAGGGATCAGTTGGGAATAGATCCCACATGTTCAGCTCCCAGGCCTCCTCCCTCCTGTCCTGTTTTACTGCTGCTATTCCCTGGCAAGAAGAATCACAGTCCAGGTGGGATCAGAGAGGACCACATAACCCCGAGTCTAAGAAATGACTGAGCAAACAAAGCACTCGAGCCTTGTCTATTATTTTTTGGCACACAGATCGCCAAGCACTTTACAGGGGACACTGAGGTCATTTTTCAAGTCAGGAAACCAAGAAACGGAGAGACAAAATGAGTTGCCCACGGTCACCCAGCACATTAGAGACAGTCAGGAACTGAATGCTGGCCTTGCTCCCCAAACCCAGCTCTCTGCCCACCAGGCCACTACTCTTCGTGGTAGCCCCAGCCTCCCCAGTTTCTCTCCTCCCATTTTGGGGCAGGGTTACTTTTAACATTCTTAAGTACACAGCATGACCCTAAAGGCTTTTTGTCCCTGCCTAAGGACCAACTCCCTCGGCTGATTTGTGATGCAGATTACAAGGCAGAGTGCTGGGCAGGCTGGGAGACAGCTCTCATTAGCCTTGATGGAGTAAGCCAGTCCCTCCTATTTCATCACCCAGCTCGTGGCACCAAACAGTGCCAGCTCAGAGGGTCCGGCTCTGCTGCTGCTGCCCTTGGCACGCATCGAGGTGCCAGTGTCCACCTCTCCTCTCAGGCCAGGACTGTGGAGGCTCAGGCAGTGCTTAACTGGCATCTCCATCCTTCCCAGCTGGACGCACGGCCTTCCTGCCATGCTCGAGCCCCTCAGCTACCTGCTATGCTCGGTGACAGGAGAGAGCCCGCAGGCAAAGGACTCCTGTCAGATGACATTTCTGGACAGATGGGGCCAGGGGCTCTCTCTGAGCGCCTGAGCATGCCCACGCTGTGGCATGATCTTTGTATGGGCAAATCCCTTCTGTGCAGCTCTTGCACAGCCTGATGCAGGGGACCCTGGGGACAGCTTAGCTGCAAAACAATTTCAAGGCACTGTAAGACTTACAATTTCTTTCACCGCATTCTGCTGCTCCTGAACCGTGGCTGTGAATCGTGGGAGGCTGTCTGCCTTACCGGAGCTAGCCCCCTGCTCTTTAGAGTCCTTGACAAAATTCACCTGCAAGGTACAGATATTTGGGTGTTACTCTGTAACTGCACCAGTGGCAAACCTCCTACAAGACTCTCCTGTGTCAAGAAGTTACCTCGGACGACAGGCACACGTATCTGTTGAACATGAGGAAGAAGGGGGTGTACTTCGTGACGGAGTTGACCGAGGTGCGGAAATCGAAGAGCACAGGGTCAAGGTTGGTGTCCCATTCACTGGGCTTCTCATTCACCACGTTGCAGATG